TGATTCAAAGATATCGAGCGATATCATCTATCATTTTTGTATTTTTTCCTGTATGCCACTGGGATGACCTAATGGAACGAAAGATAAATGTATACTGAGATTTACATATTCATGTGGGTTCCATTCCACTGACCTATTCTTTCTAGCTAATACGGACTCGCGTCAGATCGATATTATCCTGTGTCAATTCTCTCACGAAACACCATCTAAATTCTAATGAACACTCGTTTTTACGAGAAATTTTCGCTCTTTTTATGACACTGAAATAATTTCAACTCGGGTTATCACAGAAGGCCAGAAAGATAGAATTACTAACGGAAGAAAAGGTAGGTTTCCAACTTATTTGCATAATAGATAACCAAATGGCCAGCTATTTGGAACAATTTAATCATGGAGAAACATTTATTGCTGATGTGAATGAGGAGTCAGTAGTGTATTTAGGCCGGTTCTAGATCCTCCAATCGCTTTGAAGCGGTGACCTTGGATATAAGTTTGTCTTGAATAAGTATTAGTATATTACATAACAAGAGTTGTAATATGCATATTACGTATGAAGTGGAGAGAATTGCAAACAATGCAGCGTAGCGGCGAGTGTATATTTCCGTGATTGCGTTCCACCTCAAGAAAGGTACTATACTTTTTCTACGACAATATACTATACTTCCTTCGGGATAGTGCAGATATTGTGTTTAGGCACAAATATCGAATAGGTGCTATTCTCTATCGCGACTAATAATATCGTGGTTCATGTTCAGTGTGGATCGTAACATCGAATATACCGACCAGAACACCAGAGTGAAGCTGGTTTGATAGTTCTTGAAAATGTACTGATGGAATATTTTCCGAAAATGATATGATATTATTCCTGAGTTTCCAGTCAATGAAGTTTTCGTAATCGATTTCTAATCTTTCTCGAGACTTCAAGGGTAGCAACTCATTTGTAGCCATTCTGCTCTTTCCAGAATTTCTCGTGGTGTTGAAATCGCTTGACATGTTCGAACTGAAATATCAATAGGAAATAATCATAATTTCAAAAACTGTTACTTGCTTTGTTTCGGTTTTTATTGATAGCTTGATTCATTGATGAAAAGATAAGTACTTACCTAGCTACTGACATTAACTGACATTCACGATAGAAAATAAGCGTTCGCCACCTATCGGAGTTCTTGAAAGCTCTCAAAGCGGTATGTTTACTTCGTTTTCATTGTTTTATATTTGTTTTAAGTTTATTGACATTGTTTTATGTACAATATCATCAATTACAATAGAAGGTGTAGGAAAATAGATATTTATGTAACCACGTAGAAAACGCGTCATTTTGTGTAACGCAACACACATTTACATTTTTCCCAAGAATGAGTTCCAGGTTGAAACACAATATTATGAAAAATATAGATACCTACACCGTTTCCTACCCCGAATGATATTGATTACAGATACAGGAAAACTCTATGCTCCCCATTAATCTAATAATAAGACGAGCATTATATCGTACCAAGATCACTGCATGGATCGATGAATGTTGTCTTGTCTTTCTTATATTTCACGAGACTTCAAGGGTAGCAACTCATTTGTAGAAAATCCTGCTCTCTCCAGAAATTATGTTGGTGTACATATAATGTCATCGTCATCGCTTGACATGTTTGAACTCAAAATTTCAATAGAAAATAATTATATTTTCAAAAACTATTACTTGCCTGGTTTCGGTTTTGATTGATAGCTTGATTGTTCGATAAAAAGCTAAGTACTTACCTAGCTACTGACATCAACTGAAATTGTTAGATAATGGTTATTGGCACATCGCCTGAGCAACAAAACAAAGTTAACTATCAACATAACTACAATGAAAACCGTGCGATCGCTCGCTTTACGCACACTGTGCATGAGGAGAACCTTATTTACATTATTTTATGTACAATATTATCAATTTCTATAGTAGTTGTAGGAGAATAGATATTCATGTACCTTACCAGTTAGGAAACGCATCATTTTGGGTAACGCAAAACACATGGGTACATGTACATTTTCCCAGGTTTGAGTTCCTGGTTGAAAATTGAGATACCTACACCGTTTCCGATCCCGAATGATATTGATGATAGATACAGGAAAACACCATGCTCCCCATTAATCGACGAGGATTATATCGTACCAAGATCACTGCATGGATCGATGAAAGTTGTCTGTCAGTTAATTAGTTGAATGAACTTCGACTGCAACGCGGAAACATTTCGAAATATCAAAGGTCATGAGAATGAATTTTCGACACCGACCTGCATTGACACCCTCCCACCTGGCAAGCAGAATAGGGTGCATAGGATTCATACACCCAGTCAATATAAAAGTTTGTACATGGTCATGGAATTCATGAAATGAAAGGATGTTTCATTTTCTAAATGTTCAGACCTTGATCTGAAGCAATATCTGAACCAATAAGAACTCTCTACACAATAATCTAAGATCTAAGAGCCTCATATCCTGAGAACTTCGCCATTACAATTTCCAGCATCGGAAATCAAAGGATTCTTTTACATTTTTCAAGATAACCCACTCACCCCGTAGTTCTATTCCACGATAATTAATTAGGCTAATTCGGCTATCGAACTAAGAAATGAGCTGAAAACAAGGTTGTCGGTTTATGCGGTGGGTAGTGGGTAAGTATAGCAAAATGTAAAGTGTTCATCGATCGGTTGTCTTTCCCTCTTTTCTACCCCTAACCGTTCCCTAACCTCTGTAGGGTCGTGTACACACGGGCTACGAATTTCATTACGACTTCGAACTCATCGATAAGAAACTTTCGCCAAGAAGCAGCCACACTTTTCCGAAATATTCACAAGCACTGCGTTTTTGAGATATGGCAGAATGTCATGAAAATGATAATAAATAATATTCAATCAACCTCTTATTTTTTTCCTAATTCAAAGTTGCAACTGTAAATTAGACAAATTCTCTCCCATAGGCAACATGGGTGTAATGCCATATCTAGAGTAGAAGGAAAGAAACACTCCAAAAAACTGAATGGTAGATGACGGAATAAAACAACTACTTTACAAAATTGATATCTCCGACCTGAAATGAGGAGTTATGTAGAAGCAGGGTAAGACTCAATTTGGTTCTTGGTCATGGATACTGCTTCGGAAATAAAATTTTGTATGTTGATATAGTCTTTCCAAAATAGATTGAAGAAATGCATCAAACAATTTAAGTTCAGTTAGACAAAAACTCCTATATCTCTGGTTAGGTGCAGTTATAAAAAAAGTTGAAGATGAAAACCTAAAATTCCATATTGTCAAATATTCAATTGAAAAAACGAGCTAACAAACAATATTATCCCTCGCCTAATAAGTTTTTCTTTAGAACGATAATGATCTAGCTAAATTATCAACTCCTTCATATCGAAACTGAAGCATTCAAAATTCTATATTGTCGTTTATGAATACTTTCAGTCGAAAGAATCATGCCATGTGTGTTCTAGGCGTTTTGAGCAAATACCTAATTGAAACAATGTGTGCTCCGTCCACTGATACATACTCAGATATAGACCTGTGTATTTGTACATAGGTAGGTATATTTTTACAAAACGAAATTCTCGTTGAGTTTACATAAACGTGCCATTAATCAAGGGTGCTGACACGGGACTATCAGAATGAACACGCCAACTAATTATTATGTAAATCGTTGTAAATAACTCATAATACATGCATATTTATACAACAAAATATATCCTGTAGGCACAATGAGCTACGACAAAATCATGCAGTAGAGAAGGTCCTAATATCTTCAAAGAAGTCAGGAGAGAGTTGGCAAGGACACCAATTTGCGTGTAACCGGCAACCTTACATCAACGTTGAAATGTTTCGATCAAGATAATATTTTTGATGTTTCATACTCGTATTATGCCGTGTTATAATGTTCGTGAAATATTACTGCCATGTAAGGGGGCGTAGGTTATCTTATATTCTTTTTATTGATGGATCATTGATTAGCAATTCCGGGGAGAATTTTGGAGCTGAATCTCAAACATGCAAACAGTAATTAGTTGGAGTAGATGGCCGAATTTGAATTTGTTACTTTTGTTAGAGTGTTAGAGGCTTTAAGATGAATTAGTTGCATAGATGAACTGATGAGTATAATAGGCATCGTCCACCAATCAATAGGGTTCTTCTCAGAACGTTGAATTATTGTACACGCGGTTAACTCCATTATTGGATATAGTTGGATATTGGAAATTGGGCGCAACAATGGAGTATGAAGCTATATCAGAGTATTATACTGCCCTTTTAATCCTAAAACCTTCAATCGATGTTTTGTGGAAAAAGAAACAAAATTTATTAAATGAATATGTCTCTTCTTCACCATGTAAGTTGTATACGGTGGGCTTTCAATGCCAATATATGTACTCGTAGTGTCTTCTGTTTTTGAATTTTCTTTTGTCACTTCTCCTGATGGTGGACTTTCCCAGTAAGGTTGAATTGAAGTTGTGGAGACGATTTCTTCTTTCTTCTTCAATAACAAATCTCCACTTTTAGCAGCAATGGATTCCACCAGTGACTGAAACTTAATATTATTCGTCTTGAAACAAAACAAGAATTATTTAGGTTGTGTTAACTTGAAACAAACAACTAATTCATTTATAATAATTCATCAGTCCTAATAAAAACACTTTTTCGGTACCCAATTTGACCCAATTAAGAATGACTTGGCCATGAATGTTGATAGTTGCTGCTCGAGGAACCTGACGATTAATTTCATTTGCCATCTTCAAAATCGCATAATTATGAGCGGACCTATGCCTGGGTTTTTTTGTCAGTATACACTGCAGGATATGGAATATTTGTCATATTGAATTATTATTTCGAAATTCCGCTATGAAAGTCGAAATTTCGAGGAGAAACTTGGAATTTCCAGGGAAAAGTCAAAATTCAATCGACAAAAAAAACAAAAACCCGTGGCACTTCTACGCTTCTGAACTTATCAGAGTAGTTAAAGAGTAGGTTGAAGGTCACGTTCAACAGATCGTTGATGATTTGTAGTAAGAAAAGTGTTGGAAATAGAATAGTGTCGTATAGTAGGTACTACTGCGTTTCTAATCCAGAAGCAATTGAAGAAAACTAGTGAATCAACGACATAGTAGTTCATCATTATAGCTCTCATATTATGTCGGCATTTCAAACGTCAAAAAGTGACTCGTACAGGTGAGCTTGGTGCCACCATTGTCGATCTGAATGAAAACCTAGTAGGCGACCTAGGTTGTCATCTAGAACGACAATGGTGCCACACTCCAGAATTATTTAGTATAACCCAAGATTCTCTGTGTTTTTTTAAGGTGAAATCCCAGACTTTTGTGATCGTAGGATTCTGCCAAAGAGTGAAAGTTACCACTTTGGTTCCCAGTTGTTCTGTGGCCAAGTAGAATCCCTTCCCCCACTCCATTATCAATCCTAATTTATGTATCCAATTAACTAGGATCCTTCGTAGTAGTCGGGTCGATCCGAATTCCGAATAGCTGAAACTTTTAATGACGTGAACACAATGTTCTTATGAAACTCCTTACTCCTGCCGTAGTGGAAACGCTGCCGGTAATAAAACTTCTTTGCCCGAGAACTCCATGAAACTTCGCTCCGGAACTCCAGTTTGTTCATAAAACATTTATGATCGCTCTCATTAGGGCAATGGGAGGGACAGAATGATGTTCGTGTCCAGTCGGTGAGTTGGCATCAAGTTCCACGACAGTCGGAACCCAACTCCCATTTTTCAGGAAAAATAATATATGCATATCAACATGGAAACCCTTGAATTCGTGAGAATCACGAACCAAAATTTTATGATATAGAATCCAAGCTTCCATTAAAAAAAAATTAGAAAGTTTCACAATTATTCATCATACGCAGATGCGTTATTGTTCTTGATATCACAATTTGAAGTTGGATATATTATGATAGTCACCATATCAAAGTCTTATCACCACTATCATTGAAAGTGTCTTTCGTATTGTTTCAGGAGAACTAGGCTCTGAGAACTGGGCCTACCATGATAGACAAAATGCTCGTACACATCGAGTGCTGTTGACATTCAAATTGTTTCGTAAGTATTCTGAATATATAAAATGTTCTGCTTCGAATCAAACTATACCTCTGTATTTTCCAGTAGAAAATGTGCTACTCGAATTTTTAATCACCCTGTATATTACGAGAAGATCGTGGTGACAGAATTTTTTTTCGATGATTCTAGAAACACCCAGTATATCGCGTGAGTAGGCAGCTTCGAAATCCAGGCCGCGATCATTACGGCAATGTGTATGCCATTGAAGATAACGTTATAATTTAATAGATATTTCTACAGGGACTCTGTGCCGGTCAACTGCGCTCTATTCCCCTGGCTCCAATTACGGAGAAATTGTAATTAGAGCATTTGCAGAGCGGCGAACCACCCTCAGGCAATGCTTTCGCGCTCATTGTTGTATCCCCTTCGTACTGCTCTCGTTAGTTATATTCCTACAGCTCTATATAGTCCTAAAAGGACAATGAACATTGTTTTCTCCAAGCTCAGCTTTTTCTCTCTTCGATCAAGATGGCTGAAGTCGGATAAAAATGTTCGGGATCATCAAGTGCAGAAGTCACATCCTCCCATTATTTCTACAACTCTACGTCATCACATTGGGATGGCATAAATTCAATCGATTTTTTCAAGATAAAAGACATCCATTTCTATGCTTGGTATCACTATCAGCAATAACCTTTTTTGGGAAAATCACTTGGGATCAATTGCTGAAAGTGCATCCCAAAAACTTGGTTTTCTGTTTCGGGCCAGGAGCTATTTCACTTCCAGTCAGCTGCTTATGATCTATAAGGCACAGATCCGACCTGTCCTGGAATACTGTTACCATATTTGGAGTGCAGCACCCAAACATATCCTGAAACTGTTGGATTCTGTCTAAAAAAGGGCAAATCGTCTCGTGGCTGATGCCTCGCTCACAAACTCACTCATTTCTCTTGAACACCGTAGAAAAGTTGGCGATCTAGCCTCTAGTATTTATTTTCCAGAACATAAAAAAACATTAGATAGAAATGCTATTGATATCATAGAAACGTCAAAATATCGAAATAATAAGTAATCGTTAATAAACCAACCAAACAACAAAAAGAATATTAGAAACTAAATGTAAGAAGTAACAGCTCTATTGCTCTGTTCTCGAAGTAGCCCTTCAATAGATATCCAGATAGATGTTATTTTAGCATGAAATTGTCCTTTCAAACTTCCATATGCCATCTTTCAACGATGTTGTCAGTTTTATATTCAAAATTAGTCTGTTTCCTCTGCCTCCTCTCAAATGTTCCAATCCACGTATCCTCAAAGTAGGTATACTGGTACTGTATGGTGTACTGTATGGTGGAGGACATCTGCACGTCAGCAACTAGTCCCTAGGACCTTTTTGCAAGCTCCAATGTGTTTCAATCAGTGATAAGGTTCGCTTAAGAGAGCTGGCTAACACACTTTTCAAAGTACCGTCTATCAGCTCTCTATCAGAGTAGATTACTAATTTACTCACTACCATATGCTGCAGTGGCAGGCCTGCCAGCTACTTCGTTAACCCCCGCTTGACCGTTACATACACCGTTCTACTTATTATCTGATGCTCACAACCACATCATCATCTTCTGTGTGTTCTGTTTAAGGAAGTCCTTAGCGTCATCACGACTGCCGTTTTTCTTGGAAATAACTTCCAATGGCTGAAAATCTGCATCCGTAATTTTCAGCCATTGGAACAAGTAACTGACAACCCTTTATTGCTGTTAACTCAAAATCAGTGGTGATTGTTGTTATTGTGACTATTTCTATTTTGATTCGCAATTGTTCAAAATCCTGAGTGTAGATGATTTTCGTCTTGTAGTTGAGCAATGCTATTCCAAAGGATAGGCCGGTTCTCCCACTAATACATCCTTAATGTAGAAATATCCATAGCGATACTAATTTTTACTATGATATTTATGAATTCATAATATTTGAGTTTCATCTCACAAGAAAGTTGTTATGACAAATTAATGATAAATCAAAGATAACGCTTCAGGCCTTGGCAGCCAAATAAAAATCAAAATGTATCAACAATCAAAAATGTTTTGATCCAATGTGTTGCATGTCGATTAGTGTTTCTAACGAATGTGTTTTTAACAATAAAAAAATCGAGACTTCTTCAAAAGTGTTTCATAACATTCCGATAAAATTTCCACCACCTATCAAATTATATTGTTTTTGGATTGTTTTTGGTGATTTACAGACGAAACTTCCGGAAGATGATGAATATCTGGGCGTTCTGTCTTTGGACAAGCCTCTTCGTCCCGCCATGCCTGCCCAACCCGCACAGAGGGCGCCACCACTCTCCAGAGCCTCACGCAGAAGCCTACCACATCTCCAGAGACGCCTTCGACCCGCACAGAGACTCCGAAGAGTTCCGCAGGGACGCCCCGGACGACAAGCGCGAATTCAACAGGCGGGAATCCCTGGAAGAGGACCAGCTGGTAGTGCAGACCACCAAGGGTAAAGTGCGAGGCGTCACGCAGATCGCAGCCACTGGCAAGAAAGTCGACGCCTGGCTGGGCATTCCCTACGCCCAGAAGCCTCTGGGCAGCCTGAGGTTCCGGCACCCTAGACCCGTGGAGAAGTGGGACGGCATCATAAACACTACCGTGCAGCCTAATTCGTGCGTGCAGATAATCGACACGGTGTTCGGCGACAACTTCGAGGGTTCTGCCATGTGGAACCCCAACACGCCTCTCAGCGAGGATTGCCTGTATCTGAACGTGGTGGTGCCTAAGCCGAGGCCTGTGAACGCTACTGTGATGGTGTGGATCTTCGGCGGTGGGTTTTACTCGGGAACCAACACGCTGGATGTGTACGACCACAAGTTCTTGGTGTCGGAAGAGAACGTGATACTGGTGTCGATGCAATATCGCGTGGCGTCGCTTGGCTTCCTCTATTTCGGTACCTCCGACGTTCCTGGCAACGCCGGGATGTTCGACCAGATGATGGCGCTGCAATGGATCAAGGACAACATTGCTGCCTTCGGTGGCAACCCCAATAACATAACGCTTTTTGGTGAATCTGCCGGTGCTGTCTCTGTTTCCTTGCATCTTCTGTCGCCTTTGTCGCGAAACCTGTTCTCGCAGGCTATCATGCAATCGGGCAGCCCTACTGCCCCGTGGGCCATCATATCCAGGGAAGAGAGTCTGCTCCGTGGGCTGAGGCTAGCGGAAGCAGTGGGATGTCCCCACGAGCGAAGTGATTTGACCGCTGTTATAGATTGCTTGAAGAAGCGAGATCCTATAGAGATAGTAAACAATGAATGGGGTACCTTGGGAATCTGCGAGTTCCCATTCGTGCCTATCATAGATGGCGCTTTCTTGGACGAACACCCAGTCCGTGCCGTAGCTAACAAGAACTTCAAGAAAACCAATATCCTTATGGGTTCCAACACCGAAGAAGGCAACTACTTCATAATCTATTACCTGACGGAGCTGTTCAGAAAGGAGGAGAATGTGTACGTGAATCGTCAGGAATTTTTGCGTGCAGTTACTGAACTCAATCCTTACGTTAGTCCTATTGCTAGGCAAGCTATAGTATTCGAATACACGGATTGGTTGAATCCGGATGATCCAGTTAGCAACAGGAACTCTCTGGACAAGATGGTAGGAGATTATCAGTTCACTTGTGCAGTGAACGAGTTCGCTCATAGGTATGCTGAGACTGGAAACAATGTCTATATGTACTATTACAAGCACCGGTCTGTGTCTAATCCTTGGCCATCATGGACAGGTAATATCTTCAACTCATTCTTGTAGGTAGTTTTTTCACTTCCTCTGATTTCAGGTGTCATGCATGCTGACGAAATCAACTATGTTTTCGGCGAACCGCTGAACCCCTCCAGGACATACACGGCCCAAGAGGTGGACTTCAGCAGACGCATAATGCGCTACTGGGCCAACTTCGCAAAAACCGGCAACCCCAGCTTGAATTCGAACGGGGTATGGACCCCCACTTTTTGGCCTCTGCACACGGCCTACGGAAAAGAGTACCTCACTCTCGATGTCAATTCCACTGCTACTGGCCGAGGTCCCAGGCTCAAGCAGTGTGCCTTTTGGAAGAAATACCTACCTCAACTGCAGCAGATGTCGGGTAAGTGGGACGAATATGACAATTGTCAAAGGTCCGGGAACACCTCAGTGCACTAGGCCGGTTTGATGACCATAATTTGATGTCATTGATGTCTACATTGACTGTCTCCATGTGTGCCAAATTCTCAGGGAATAAGTAGTAGTAGTAGTATGTTTATGTGATCTGTTATTGAACAGCTATAGTCAAATTAGCGAGCGACAAAATAGTGCGAAACCGATTGCGCATGACCAAAATGTGCCAATAGAAATTAGCGCCGTGACGTATAATAGCGCCGACCAAAAAAATACACGTGTTCAATTATGGCGCACTGATATTGATAGCGTATTTCATAAAAAAGAATAAAAGTGGTGAAAAAAAACAACTTTTTTGCCAAATTTTACCTTTCTACAAATTCAAATATCTTTATGAGATGAACATTATCAGCACATCCTTTCGTCCAACCTTGAATTATGTCGAACAACACTCTACCAAAACTCGTTCATCTATAGAACGGCGAAGCTTTGGAATCAATTGCCAAAAGTTCCAACACATACCTACCTCATCTTCCTATCCTTTCTAGGTACGCACGATGTTCCACGAGTATTATAGGAAATTCCTTTCGTGCACTCCAAGAGATAAAGAAAATGTAGGTGTAACCAATGTGTCGATAGGCCCACAATGGCTGGTGTCTAGCATACCATTCACGTCTGAGTTCCGAAGACGTAATTAATATAAGGAAGAAAACTATAATTTCTGCATAAGGAAGGAGACTACCTTACTAAACAATCTAACATGACTAAATCGCTCTGTTTCTTTTCGATTTTGTCGAATGGCTTTGCATGCGAAGGATGATGGCATCGAAGAGTTTTTTTTTAATATATGGATAAAGCAATATTTCTCCGTACATATCCAGGAAGTGGAAGTGAGATGTATCTCATCTCTTCTGTACCTATACCCTTCAGGGATCAAAATAGCACCAGCTTTTTTCGACTGATAATATTGACAATTCGTTTTGACGTTTTGGGCGCTATTTCGTCGAATTCCCAAAAGTTTGAGTACCATTTTGTCGCACGCTATTTTGTCGATAGCGCTGTTTGATTACTGAGCCATGTTTCTATGATAAATTTTACAACCTGTGGAACAATTTCCAGGTGAAACTTCATTTCCCTATATGTTCCAATGTTAAATGAAACAACCTGGGAGGGATCATTTATTTGATAGATCAGGAAACTTTGGAAAAAAATACATTTTTGAACATATTTTTCTAGTTCTTTCAACTAATGAAATAAACCATGTGAAAACCTGAGATTATTATTTTCGAATACACTGTGTCCAAGATAAGGAGAGCCATTATGGTCATATCGCAGAAACTACAAGAGATGCAGATTAGGTTTAATAAGAAAAAATTGCACGATTGAAAGGCTCATAAAATGACTGCTATGACGCATCAAAACAACAATATTTTATAGAATATCGTCGAGATCAGAATGGAAAGGGCTATTCGAATATGATACAAGGTAGGTACCTATCAGTCAAGACCGTATTTGAAAAAAGAAGATGCTGACTGCTCAAAAAATCGATAATGTCAAATTGATCATAAGTTGTTGTTTCCTCAGTTTTGTCATAACTTCATTAGCAATGTCAGAAAATATTGAAATTGATAATCCAGAAATCCAGTTTTTTTTTTAAATAACTCAAAAAAGAAGAATTATATAAAAAAAATTCAAACGTCATTTTATTGGGCCGTCAATTGTGAATATTTTTTCTCATTTAACCAAATCTGTATATCTAATGTAGTTGCCAAGATACCCATCCTGGTCCTAATTATTTTGGACACAGTTTATATATTGGTTCATTGTGCCTTATTCTATATTATTTAATATATTTTTTACATCTTGAGTTCGTTTTTTTTTCTTTTACCCGTTACAATTTTTTTCTAATATTTTATGTACATGCTGGTAATATGGTTATTTACTATTAATTATTTTTCTCTGACTTATTGTTGTTGCAGCTGAGCTACAGAACACACAATCTAATAAGGAATGCACCAGCATAGGAAATTCAATCAATAGTCCATGGTGTATGATTTACTCAGCTTTGATAATCGCCATTATAGGAAAACAAGACAGTTTTCACTAAAAATTAGAAGCTTCCCATCGCCAGGCTTGAACAACCAATCGAATGGGGCTAAATGGATTTCCCCAGGTTTAGATTTCTGATGCTTTTGCTATTCGTAGAGTCTATAATAGGAAAAAGTTGGCCCTGCGTGATTTCGGTTTGTCGTTCCCCTCAGAAAGGTGTGTATAGGGTTTGTCAAAAAATGCGAACGTATAAGGTTCATGAAAAATGAGACGACTTTGGAGAAAAGAAATATAATTGGCAGTGATTGTTGCAGACCATCAGCGTTCTAAGCATACTCCTTCCAAAAACTGTAATCTCCTAGAAAATTTCACAGTGAAATTTCAAGAGGGTGATATGGAAAATACCATAAAACAGTTGACTTTTTCAAGACGTTTTGTCCCAGATGATGACAATTTTTGAGCAATCTTGTCTTCAAAAATTGAGAGTATATTCATCACCCTCTTGATTGTTTCATCAAGAATTTACCTGACTCGATCGAGTATCAAGATTGTCGTTTGATATACGTTGCTAATAAACTGGTCAATAATGAGAGTGGACACACGAAAATTTTAAGTAGTTTTATTAAATGCCCAAATATTTATTCTTTTTCCTCAAATGTAGGTGTCATTCATGTTCACGAAACTAATTTCGAATTTTTCATTGCAGAACTTGAATATACCGGGTGACACATGAGTTTTAAATTCACAAGGGTTATGTTATCGATGATGGCGCTTTCCACTATTCAACTTTTGTATCACAATTTGATAAGCGGAATGATACTAAAAATACACTAATGTGGACTCATGAACAGATGTATTAGGACGATACACCAATTATTACAACAATTTCAGTTTCATGTATCCAGATGGATGATCATATTATGGCTACATGGCAAAAATAAAAGACAAATAGTCTCTTCACATGTAGCCAAATAAAAAAAAACTGAGTTTCTATCTCTATCTTAGTTTTCCCAATATCGTGAGTTATTTTCGGATGAGTTTTTGAACTTAATGAAATTATTGGCAATCTTCTGGGACCGATAAGGGTATGGAAAATATTCTAATAATATCGTAAGTAACGGTCTTTGGATTTCTAAGCCTATCAAGCATCGAAATGTATGATGTATTTCAATAAAATGCAATTTAACAGCCAATTGATGAACGAATATCAAATAATTGTGATACATAGTTGAATAGAACATTTTTAGACCAATAAGATAAGCTACAGAAATATACAAGATGCTATTCGAAAAAAAAAGTTGGGTCTACTTCTACCGATCAAACAGGTGGTTGAAGAAAAGTGTCATTGGGTTCAAGAGAAGCGCCATCATCAAGACTGTTACATGTGTCCTGTGTCACCCGGTATATCATAATATGATGAACCGTCCAAAATCTCAAGATTCATAAAAAATGTACTCACATAAAAAGTTTATCTGAATGATTTCAGAGCACGAATGCTACAAAAATTTCCGAGTAGTCCACTCAAATTGTTGTCAATCTGTTCAGATGATGAAACGTTGCTGAACAGTCACTAGATGCCAATCAACACCACTTTGAAAATCTCTAGTTCTGCTACCTACATGTCTCCGCTGCCTTATATTCTATAATAGTCGACCATAAGTAATATACTACTAGAAGTTTTCCTATTCGGTGGAGTCAATCTACCAAATTGAATCTCAACTGTCGACGTCAAGAACAAAAAATTTTTTTTTTTTCAATCAATTTGATCCATTCGAACATACAAATGCTTAGTTACGTGGATATGGGGTGTTCAAGTTTGAAAAACTAAGTTGTTCTTGGAAATTATTCAAGAAGAACCTGAAAAAAGTTCAGGATGACTTTTTTTTCTACAAAAATGAACCGGGTTGCTCGATACGTACGCCCCTAGAAATTCTGGATCAAATCTAATTGGCTCAGTAAATGTCTGAGGATTGTGTGAATAAACCATGGAAATTTCATTAAATTCAGCTCAAGCGTTTCCAAGATATTGATAAAAAACTCCTTTTTTCTCAAATTTGGACCTTGTATAGGAGATAGAAATTTGGCTAACACAGTAGCTTCGTCAGGTGGAATACTGGTACAATGAATTTTTTTTTTCACTTCTCAGCGAAGCATGTATTGTGACTGAAAATTTTGTGGAAATCATATCGTTTGTGAAGTTTTTACATTTTACATTTTTTGATTAACTGAACAGTAATTGAAAGCATCAACATCATTCAACAGTCATAACAAATGTGATTATACCATAATTTTCAAAGTTTGTCTTCTACCGTCATATTATGTTTGATGACACGAATTATTTCACAATTACAATTGGAGAAACTAAATATTCTCCAGTAAAAAATATGGGGAACAAAATTTTGTCGTATTTTATCGAAGGAAAGTCTATCAGTTGGTACCGGGTGATAAGTTATTAGTGTATTGATTCATTAAATTCCGAAAAAACATTGATGATGACTAAGATTAGGTCGAAACTTATTCAAACCACGTTGTATGCAGAATATAACTGTGAGTTCATAATCAGGACCGTATTTAAACAAAATAAGTTGATAATCGTGTTGATAATGGTTCTACACCAAGTTAAATCTCATCAAATGACCAAATGTTCCTTTGTGGAAAATTATTTTCAGTTTTTCTTTATCTCCAATGATAACATAGAAAAAACTGGTATTTCCAAAAAATCAATTTCTTCGATATAACTGAAGAGCTATAAATAACTCTGAAAATTTTCGAAGTCTGTTGCAATGGCCCTCTGGAATATGCGCAGCTTCTTTTTCAATTCAACCGAATTCATATCCACAATAAGTAACCATACAGTGATGTTCTGAATGAAGATTTACAGTTGGATTCGATTTGGAAGCATTGCCTTTCACTCTTGTCCTTAGATATCCTAGTATAGATTATAGTACTCTTATAGTGCCTCTGCATAGTAGTATTAGCGTATTGGGATTGAAACGAATTTGTGAGCCTCCGTTTTTGAGGCAAAGTTGAAAATTCCTCCCAAACGCCGTTTTCTTCAATATGCTCGCCCCGCATTTTACTCAAACATATCCATATGATGGTGCAAAAACTACCTTTAATTATAGAAGATTTTGTACATACCTACTATATAATATATACTTGAAACTTGAGAAAACACTAGTGCTTTATCTTCGAACATATTTTAATGAAGTTAAGTACAGAAAAAAACTGTCACAATAATCAATAAATCTTCTACTTCATTGAACATCATAATAGTAATCATTGTTTAGATTCTGTAGCTTGAGAAAGAAACAAATATGGAAAATGTGCACAGTTTTTTTTTTCATATAACCCAAAAGCATTCATTTCTCAAAATTTTTGCGACTTTCTCTCCTTGTCTGTACATGAGTGAAAATATTATTACACTATTAGTTCGATAATTTTGAATTGATAATAATGATAATAATTGTCCTTCCATCGTCAACCAATCAACAAAAGATCTGGTGATAAGGCATAATGTTTTCTTCGGTTTCATCATGTATGTACCTAGTAACTATAGTTAAATTTCAATGTAAGTCATTGTCGACCAATATGTAGACCTCGAACATAATTACTTCACTAATAGCAGTAGCTATCTACTCAGCATCATATTTTTGTTATACCGTCGGACTCACTGACTGAGAAGTGAGTGGGGATGAAAGTCGCCTACGGGTCAGGACCCGCATATTCATTTGAAATGAATCATTGGACGGGTGAGCATCGCAGCTACGCAGTTAGAGCCTACTAACAAAATGTGGTGCCAAAACAGTTCGAACCCCTGAACGTGCATATCAAGAAGTCCTCGCCGATCCCAGGGCGTATCGTTTCAGAAAAAACAGTTGCCCCCCTTGGTCTCCCGAAATAACTGTCTGCAATTTCTTTTTTGACGATTCCTACATCAAAAAAAGTTGTTTGAAACGACCGAGGGGATCAACTAAAGGTTCATTCGGGTTCGAACTATTTATTGGTCGCGTTAGGGTTTTTCCAGAATCGTCCTAGAACTATCCGAAACCAGTACCTGTTCTCGAGCATGAACCGTTCTAGGATTGTTTTTGGCGCATGTTCATTTCAGTTAGTTTTCGATTCTGTCTGTTGTAGCGTAACGTCATAATGATATTATATTTTCGTTTATTCTACTGTTTATTGTTTTTTTCCCAATATTATGGAGTTTGTACATTTATTTGATAGTAGTAGATCTTTATCTTCAGGAAGCAGTGGTGAAGGAGTTACTTGCTGAAGTTGCTGATAATATTTTACCTAATCTGATAATTATTCTTGAACTTTTGCTAGATGAACCGAAAAAATGGAGGATTATGTTGGGGAGACTTTGCCATTATATTCAAATACACAATTCATTGAACATTTCAGGTGGGTGTCGAAGTTCATGAAGGTACAAGGGACAAAACATATTGAAACTCTAGCTACGAATGCTATGAGGCTCCACAGAGGGTTGCCAGAGATATTGTGAAAGGACTCAAAGGAGAGTTTGAAGCTTCAGAATATTATTCGAATGAAGATACAGGATCCAAACTATTGTTTTTTTTTTCGCAAATTCTGAATAGAGGTTATGTTCTCAGAGGTTCTCTTCTGCCGTGTTCGGGTTTTCATAATTTGTGAACCGTTCTGAAACAGTCCTAGGATTCGAAACGACTGCGCACTAGTTCTGTGCAGTTCGAGAACGATTCTTGAACAGTTCTGAAATCGGAACCTGAATGAACCTTAATATTCTTATTTCAAGAAACGATACGCCCTCTGGGATTGGCGAGGACCTCTTGACATGCCTTGTCGAACATGCACGTTCGATATTTTCAGGGGTTCGAAATCTCGAACAGTTTTGTCACTTCATTTCAATAGTAGGCTTCAACTGCGTAGCCGCCTTGCTCACCCGTCCAATGATTCATTGTAGATAAATGGTAAGACATGCGGGTCCTGACAGGCCAGTGACTATCATCCCCACCACTTTGTAGCCCGCTGCAAGTGCCACCCCTAATCGTCCTGTTTCATTGCAGAACCCTTTATGAATTTACATATGTCGGCGTCAAACAGTGAAATCCGTCATTCTCTGGAATGCCTAGTCATTTCACGTATTGCCGGCAAACAGCGTAACTCTAAATTTCGTACACCGTTTGCCTAATTGTTTCAGGCATTCCCTGTAATGACGGAAGGAAGGTCATTTAGGCCGAGTGAGCTATGGTTGTTTAGAAGCAGTAGTCTTTTCTGTTCTCTCAAGTAATTTTCTGAAAAATATTCTTTCTAGGAAGAAGGTTTATTTAGGCGGAAAAATAGTCTCCCTTTTTATGCAAATGCAAAAAGAATATTTTCCTTCCAGGCAGAGTAGGCATTTCAGTCAGGGCATGACGGATTTCACTAATGTTGTTTTCAAATGACTTTCGAGAATGATACCAGGAGCGAATCTTCTAAACACAGACCATGTACCGGGTGACACCTATAACTTTATTATTTTTGACAGTGGAAAAAAATGTGAAAAATTGTCTTACAGGTGATTTTTTCTCCTCATCGAATCGACTGATATATTTTTAGTATCTCAGAAGATATACAGGGAGCAAGAAAAAGAGCAAAAATTT